AGTCAAAATGTGGTTATTGAGTTTGCATTGTTGGGAAGCACATAGGGCTGCACGTGCATTTCCCTATAGAAGCAAGGTTATACAAAAAGGGCAAAATTCTATCAAATAAAACGACCCAATTTTGAGTATGTGCTGTGGCCTAGTTAATTCTACAAATGAATTTGAAAAGAATACCGTGCACGTCCAGCGCAACTGGCTATAAATAAACGTTTTGTGAGACCATTGTAAGTTTTCAAGAATCCATTGGACTTTATGATTTGAGAAACGTTTCTTTCAGTACATATAGCCCTGCTACATTATTTCTTGTGCACTCCGTAAAATCATGATACCCTTGATATTTTACTGGCTTACATCTACACTTACCCCTTTTGCAGCCAAGCTAAACATCAAAAGAAAAATTACTGATCCAGAGAGCATACTGGAGTCTTAAAATGACAAAACTTTGATATGAAGCTGAACAAAGCTCAGTGCAACTTTTCATGTGCAAAATGATGCCGTGAAACAAGGCCGGATATATTAAACTTGTACCTCGTCATTGTATTTGTGCAACACTTGATCAAAGATATATTTTTCGTAACCCAATGTACTTTGGTTTGCTTTTGTTCAATAGAGTACCACTAGACATTTCAAGATGTTCATTTTTCGGGTTCATATATACTTTAAGCCAGAGCACGAGGCCTTCGAGGGGGACTGGGGAGATATAATCGATGCAGTGTAAAATATTATTGATACCGATTTCTTATGCCAATGAATGATGTGCGTGTTGGGAAAACACTTTTCTCTCTATCGCTCCGCGATCGCTCCGCGGCAGGGGAGAAAACTAGTGTTTTTAATGAGTAAATATCTAAATATGACGGGAAAAGGGGTSTGCTGGGTCTGCTATCATTCAGTGGCATATTTTCGTTTCACATTTTACTTTATTGCTTCTCTTTTGTCTTAATTTTATCTAAATTCAACAAGCTTTAGCTTTATAATACTGCATAGTTTAAAATTAAGCCTTTTGGCTTTGATTCTTGGATTTAACGTCCGCTTTAGGGATTATCGGTCCTGCAGTAACGATGCTTCTAAAAATTACAAGTTTCCGAGATCGCAAAAGAAGACCACCAAATGTACTCCATGAGACAACAGGTAGTAATATAACTCTATCTTAGAGTTAAAACGATTTCACATCAAGCGCGATATCAGGGCAAAATGGACCCCTGAAAAATAAAAATGCCTAAATTTCGAGTTTTTGGTGCACCAATAAGGCTGGGAACCACGTCTCTTCGTCTCCAGTCTCTCTCAAAATCATCTTTTGCAAATCAAAATTCTACTTTTTTTTTAAATTGGCCATTCCAGGTCTTCAGTATTTTTGCATTTTTGTTTTGTAGAAGTCTCTGCAGATCTAGCATGGCCATAAATTCCGGACATTTGAGCCCGGGACGAGTCAGCGGGTTTTCCCACCAAAATAGAGCTTTCTACAAGTTCCCTTGTGGTTTGAACTTTTGAAGATCAAATTTTCTACTGTTGTGCAACGATCCTTTATCTTAATACAATACTGGGCTAAAATCGGAACGTTAAAAACACCGACAAACGAGTATTGGGATAGCACGCCCTGATCCTTGAGTTCATTAGTGGCTTGTGAGGTGCTCGTTTGGAATGTTCATAGTGTAAATAATATTATTTGCTGGAACACACGTTTCCCTYRGGTATTTTAAACAATGATCATCAGTTGATATTGTGATCTTTTGTTTATACTTGTACATTTCTAAGGAATTTAAAAGGTCTGACATTGTTTACACTAGACTTGATTGGCCTATCTTTCGTTCGTATTTCCCGCTATCTGCGCTATTTACCAGTGCGCGCAAGGCGCCAGTAAAAACCTCCAAAATTAAAGCAGTCCCAGTCTGAAAGCCATGTTTCTAAGGTTTATTTTGGTACCAAACATGGATAATAAAATGGAAGATCAGGCCAAGTATTCGCGTGAAACACGCGTCTTCGCCAGCCATTTCAGCGTCAAGTTAGTGTTTTCAAATTGTACGATTTCTAGTACCAAAAAGGACGCTGTTGATCGTCTTCAAAATAGCTGAAAATCGCTGTGTTCCTACCTCAATATGTGGACTTTGAGAAATGATCTATGGAATATCAGTGACATGTAAAGGAACACGATCAGCTACGGTGAAATTTCGCTTCTTCGCGAATTTTCACCATGAGATACAAGGCCAAAGGGAGACGACGAAAGGAAAATAAATTGTCAAAAAGGACGCTGTTAACAATATTGGATTTATTTGGATTTCCTACAGTGGAATCAAGAATAGTTTCCCTCTACGAATTCATCTATGGAATCTTTCCAGTTAAAACAGATGAAATGTTATTCTCAAATATTTTTTTTGATCCATACATTTCTTTGTAAAATTTACAAACATGTTTTTATGCATTTATGCGAAGTACCGCTGCGATTGCGGGCTCAAATGTCCGGATTTTCTGGCCATG